CCCCTAAACCTACCCCACACCTGACCCTAACCTTAACCAGTGAAATTGACTACACGGCGGGATTGGTGTTGCGTGGTAAAGAAAGTTGCAGATCAGGAGATAAACAGTTAATAAGATTATGCGATATGAGATCGTTCCGTAACTCCCCAACCGGACCTCACCGGACAATGGCACCTTTTTAGTTACACCCAGCGTCACTACCCCCTCCTACCCTGCGAATTTCGAGCCCCGGGACGCCTCCGTTGCTTAGAACAAAGTGATGGAGTGAAATCTTTCCCCTGCGCTGCGCTGGGATGGCTCGCGAGATAGCTCGTGGGTGATTCTCGTTTATATCATTAAGCAGAGGTTCAAACTCCAGTCCGAACACCACTGGCCACAAGCTTTGGGCTCTGCTCTAACGGAGGATATTTACTTATATAGCATATTTTATTTTAGATGAACTAGAAACAATGTTACATTTATAAAGTTTTATTTTGAAATGTAAGTCAATAACAATTGGCTGGAGCCAGAGCCAATGGTGAAAGTCTTTGCGCGAGGAGACCCCGCCCCATTTTGGAGGTTCTGCCCACTTTTGGAGTTCACGCCCCATTTTGGAAATCTCCGGTCTGCAGTTATATCTACTTGGGTTAATCGACGTATGACAACACCGGTAATACCGGTATCACCATGGGGGCGGGGCGTTCCCTCTTTTCCTCGCTTTCCTTCGCTTTTAAATAGCTTAAAAGTGCCATGCGCATTTTACTTTCACTTTTGCTTGAATGCAACAACAAAATACAATGCCAAACTCACTTTAGCGTATATATAAAACATAACTTTTAGTATAAAACAAATAAACAAATAAAAATACACCATGCTATAGGGCAAGCTATGCCTAATATAAAATAACAAATACATTTGTAAAATAACAAATACAAAACTGGAAATAAGTAAACATGTATAATATATAACCAAATAAATAAGAAACGTAGAACGTTTATTAGCAAAACGAATGTCAAATAAAATAAATGACAGTTTAAATAAAGTAAAAATCAGCAAACAATGTGGAACCAATTAAATAAGAAACAAATGTTTAAAAAAACTTCCAAAATCACCTTAGATAAACGGCAAAAGTCAACAGGCTTTTCAAAATCCAAAATATTGCCAAACAGGCGCTTTTGCATCTAGTTTCGAAACTAAATCATCCACCATCGTCTTGTCTGTCTTACCTCACTCTTCTTGTCAGTCAGCTCGACTCACTCTCCTCACTGGATAAATGAAATATGATCTGTGTGATGCGACTGTCAATCAGCATGCTGCATTGAGCAGCCGCATTCAGTTTTTAATTGTAGTGTCTGTTCTTTTACTGAACTAAATTATTTTTATTACTATAAAAAAATCTAAACGATGGTGGGGGTCGGTGACGAGGTGGGCAAGTGACGTAACCGGTGTTGCGGCTTAACACCGGTATCACCATCAACACCGTCTATCGCGGGCAAGCCTACTTTCAAGTACATAAAAGGTTCAAGGTCTGCTCAGAACGTACAAATCCAGAATATTTTTCTTGGACAAATATTTCACATATTGAAATAGGAAAAGATTATCAATATGATAATACTGATAAATTGTACATGTGAGGAAGTGGAGGGGGAAAAAAACACACACATACTACAGTACATTTACATTTAAAAAAACCTTTAAAAAGAGTACATTTAAAAAAAAAAAAGAAGTCTGCATTTATTTAAACAAAAAACATTAAAAACATATTTGAAATGTCATTACAATTTAAAGGGGTGGTTCAGTGTTTTTTTTCTATGCTTCATTGTGTTTATGGGGTGCAGTCTAACATGTTAATGCTTCGTTTTTTAAAAAACGCATTATTTTTCACATAATTTACCTTTATTCCAGAGCGCTCTGTCCCTTCTCTGAGAAACACCCTGATCATTTCCTCCTTTTATGAAGCCCCTCCCTCAGAAATAGGCGATGGGCTCTGATTGGTTAGCTAGCCCAGTGTGTTGTGATTGGCTAAACCGCCTCTAGTGCGCGTCTAAGTGTATAAATGGAACAGTTAATTGTCGGAGCTGAGCTGAATGAGAGTGAGAAAGATGCAGAGCAGGGGGACGCGAGGAACAGTATTAAGAACCGCTGCTTTTGAACATTGATTTTGAAAATTGTGAATCCATTAGAATCGTTAGAAGACAGAATCGCAATTCATATATGATTAGATTTTTACGTGCACCTCTGGTTTTCTCTTCCTCTTCTCTAAAGCAGCGCAGGCCTCGCCCCCTTTGCTGCCTTTTCCCAAGGGCGGGGTTTATCTGGGTTTGTGATGTCACGAACCCGGGAAGTAACTTGTTGTAGTCCCTACCAGCCGTTTTTGTAGGCATTAAACTGTCAGAATTTTAAAAGACGATATCTCCGTTTGCATTGAACTTTCAGCTTCGTAACTTTGCAGATATCGTTTATGCTCAAACAGCAACATTACACACTAACTAACATTAAAAAAGTGAAATCGCAATGAACCACCCCTTTAAAATAGCAGCTGCATTTAAAATGTACCCTATACTCAACATTTGAAGTGGATCAAAACCTTTCATCAAAGTTGTCTTAACCTAAAACCTAAATGGTTCTTGTCTTAGGACAACTTTGATAAACTTTTTTGATCCACTTCAAATGTTGACTACTGTATTTTAAAAATTTAATTTATTCAGTATCACGTGATCAATGTTGAAAAGAGTTTTACACACTTTTTTTGTGTGGAAACGGATATATTTTTCAGGATTTGTTGAATAGAAAGCTCAAAAGAACAGCATTTATTTAAAAGAAAGATCTTTTTATAAATGTCTAATACTGTCACTTTTGAACTATTTATTACAGTCCTACTGAATAAAAGTATTAATTTATTTATTAAAAAAACAGAACTTTCTGACCCCAAACTTTTGAACAGTACTGTAGGCTTTAATTTGTCTACCATACTTATTTTAAAGGAGTCCTATTATGCTTTTTCACTTGTTCAATTTTAGTTAGTCTGTAATGTTGCTGTTTGAGCATAAAAAAGATCTGCAAAGCTACAAAGCTCAAAGTCCACTTCAAAAGGAGATCTTTTATGTAACAGAAATCACTTTTCAAAAACTACAACGAACGACTCGTTGGGACTACAACGCATATTTTCCGGGATTTGTGATATCACAAATATCGACGAATGGGACGAGACCTGGTTGAGCTGCACTAGAGAAGGCAATGAGTGTTATCACTATGTCGGAGAAATGCTAGCTTTCCCAAGGTAGACAACTTAGAGTGGTTACAATCATCCGGGTTTAAATCTCACTCAAATTGATTTAATTTTGAGGCAATATTTACACTGAAGCTCGCAGCTGGGTATGGTAAGGGGATGACATTTCCCGACCAGGCGCCGAGTGGTGCCAATCACAACACACACTGGCCCAGCTAACCAATCGCAGCACATTTTGTATTTCAGAAGGCGGGCCTTCATTTGATACAGGAACTATTTGTGCCGTTCATGCCAGACTGGGGAGAGAGGTGTTGTAATAATGTAAAATATGTGAAAAATAATGTGTTTTTCGAACAACCTAGTATGAGAGCCTGTTCTAGTACACCCCCAAAACAAAATCAAGACTTTGTAAAAGAGCATAATCGGACCCCTTTAAGTGTTTTAAGTATAGGCCTTTACATCAGGGTGTGCCAAGGTTATTAATAAATAATAATAGAAAAAATGATTAAAATAAATAAAACCTAAAGTTGTTTACATATAGTCAATTTCTTTTGCATGAAATGTCATAGGTTTTAATGTGTGTTTTAAGTGGATTGTCATGTCTGTTTCTGTCAGTATGTCAGCAAGTCTTGTCCAATGACATGATAAAAACCATCCTGGGGAGAATTGGAGTCTCTCTGATCTTCAGGTACCACAGGACACGAGATTGGAATAAGGTGGGAGTGTGTCCTGTTTGTGGAAGCGTTCTGTACAGCAGTGAACCTTTGACTGACTGCTGTGTGTACTGTATGTCTTGCATGTGCTCAGGGAGTGAAGCTGGTCAGTGTGATGTTCAGACTACACATTGAGTTCATCACTCTGAAAGGGCTTATGGGGAATGAGAACAGGGTTTCTCGCTGTCAGCTGGTCACTATGGCAACGGAGTTCTTCCTCCATAGCGGGAGCTTTGAGGGAGCTTTGAAAATGCTGAGAGGTAAAGGAGATTTTGTGTATGCTGTTCAGAATCATTAAATAAGGAATCATTTGTGTATGTGTTTCTGTTCCTTCAGCTGATGGCTGGTTTGTGAGCTCCAGCATGTGGCTTTGTGAGCAGGCTGACATCGAAAATCGAAAACATGTCCTGACGCTCTTAGCTGAGAAGACGTCACACAGAGACGCCTTTGAGATTATTACCAACTTACCTGGAATCAGACAACCGATAAGTGAGTTATTGATAATCATCATCTCTCATTGCGATATTCAATACTTTCGTTCAAAAGTTTGGGATCAGATTTTTATTTTTAGTGTTTAAGAATGTTTTATGCTAGCCGAGGTTGCATTTAATTACAGTAAAATGTATTAACTTTTTTCTATCCTATTTCTAACAGTATTTATTTTCAATTCAAGTTTATTTGTATAGTGCTTTTCATGATACAAATCGTTGCAAAGCAGCTTTACAGAAAATTAAGTTTCTACATTATATTTTGTAGGTTTTTAGTGGTGACTATGGCAGAAATGTACAGTAAAAATCATGCAGATAGTTACAAATTACACGAAATCAAACAGATGGTGAACACCGTTAACTGCAATGATTATATGTTGCGAGTAAACTTTGCGATTGCGATTTAAGCAAAATTTGGTAGTTTTGATTTATATATATATTTACAAATGTTTTTAATGTTACTTTTGTTCAATTTAATGCATGTTTGCTAAAAAATAAAAACACTACAGACTTTTCCACAAACCAAAATATATACACTACCATTTAAAAGTAAGATTTTTAGTTATTTTTTTCAGAGAAATTAACTTATCCAGCAAGGATGTTTATGCATGTATGTTTTTACCTCAGAAACATTATTCATTCTAGTTTAGTCTATTACAATTAGGACTGTCAGTCACATTAATTTTTTAATATGCTGACTAATTGAGTGAATTTAATTGTTGCATATGAATTCAACTTGAATTCACTTTTTCAGATGGTGTGCAGATAAACGACTATGCTGAAACATTCAATGCTCATCTGCGTCTGTGCTTGGTAAAGCAGACATTACCAGTCGCTGCAGATATCCTTGAGTTCATGCTAATACATGGTATGGTGCCTGAAACCCTCCAGCTACAGAACCTCATCCATAAACTGGGCAAACAGAACAACTGGAGCCGTGCCAGGGCCCTTTTTAAACGTGCGTAAGATAACTTCACAGCATCTCGAAATTAACAGTTGCTGTTGCGTCACCTGAACTGATCATACAAGAGTCATTTTTAGTGAACTGTTTACAGTTGTTGAGTCACATGTTGCGTCCAACTGTCAGTAAGTTCATTATTTAATTTTACTTTTTTTTTACCTAATTTTATTTGTAAAATGTGATGTTTTTGATGTAGCATTGTATTGCCCAGCATGACACCAACACACAGAATATCCTATATACTGTTTGTGTGTGTTCCAGGTGCTCAGTCAGCAGGGTTTTACGCTGCAGTGGTGTGTGAAAGAGACTCTCTGTTTCTGCCGTGTAATCTCACTGAAATTGAGATGACGATGGCCTTCGAGATGTTCATCACCTTTATTAATACTAAACTACTGGCCCCTTCTGGAGCCTCCCAACCACTTCTCATTACACTCAGACGGTAAGTGTATAATAGACAGATGAGCTTGCGAGCACTTTTAATATTTAGTCATGATTTGTGAGTATGTGAGTTGTTTGGTTTAGGCATGCCGATATTGAGGATGTAACGGAGAGTGTGTACTTGGCGGCTGGTTGTCGGCTTCTCTCTGCGGCTCTCATACCAAACCCCAAATTGAGCATCCGCTATACAGCTGTCAATAAAAGCCAAGAACAATTCTTTCACCTGGACCGTGCATCTGCCCACAAATGGTTTTTGCAGAACGAGCGGTGGGCACGAGAGATTTGGGCAAGCTAGCATACACACACACACACACACACACACACACGCTTGTGAACAGTCCCAAAAGTAACAAATGTCTCGGTCTAATCAAAGGTTAATTTATATGTTACAGACTGTTGAAACTGGGACTTCTCGAAACTGTTTGCACACTTTTTTGTGGTGTTTGTTTTATATATTTCTTTGTTAAAACATTATTGAAGGACAAGACTGCTTAGTTTTGAGTTGTAAAAAGAAAGGTTTTGTAATATTTAGTTTCATGTTCTTAACAATTTCAACTTCCAGAGATTTACATCGGAATCTGCAAACTTAAGTCGTTCATGTGGAAAGAAAAAAACCATTAACAGCAACAACCAGAAAATAACTGTTGCCCGAAGTATATAAATATAAAAAAAATTCTAAAATAGTTTTGCATTATTGAAACTTTCCATTTTTTTCTACTAAAGGCTTTGATAAAGATTCAACAGTTACTTTCACTGTTACCATTTGCCTTACCAATAAGAAATTGTCCAATTCATTTGGTGATTAAACTGCAAAAACATATGGTACACATGGTAGTTCTGAAAGGCACTTGTGTACATTCCATCATTGGATACAATTTTGTCTAGTTCTGCAGTGTGCGCATTTCAGTTTGTTCAGTTTAACTGAAAATAATAATAAAAAAAGTAAAATCAATACCAATCTGAAGTCTACTTTTTATTGTATTTTGTCCACAGGGAGACAACACAATGTTGTTTTTCAAGGGCCATTTCTATGCATATCTGTCTTTAAAAATGAGAATACATTGCTGTATGTATGACACTTTTACCCCTATATTTAGTCATGGCCAATGGAAGTCTGTTTGGACCAGGAGAAGTTTTCTTTTCACTGTTGACACTGATTTGGTAAAAAAAAATGGCTCTTAAATATGTACAGCCAATAAAGAAAAAACGTTTGTTTTTTGAAAGATATTTGAAAATGGAATGTAAATCCAATTTGGCATTCATTCAATTGAACTGGAAAATAACTCGCATTTTGAAGGACTATGTCAGGGGTAGGCAAGTTCGGTCCTAGAGAGCCACAGTCCTGCAGAGTTCAGCTTTAACTGCGGCTCTCTAGGACAGAACTTGCCTACCCCTGGTCTATGTGAATTGTCCTAAGATTTTTTTGTAGCTTAAGCAAAAATTTTACATTTAAGCAGTGTTAAATTCAACTATAGCGGACAACATAAGATTTAAGAATATGCTTAAAATTAACAATATTTTAAGATTTACACAATTTGTTTATTATCTGTATAAAATTAATTTCTCTTATTTTGTTGATTCAAAAACGGATAACCAATACAAAAAAATAATTTTTTTTTGCCTCGCTTTTATTCTTGGGTAAGAAATTTTACATTAAAAGTAACTAATCCCGATAGTTATATCAATTCCAATGTTTTCGTATATGCTCTTAATATTGTATTATTGGCCATAACAATTAACGCAAACATTTTTACTGGTGCAAGAAAATGCATAAACACCCAGGACTTTTAAATTAAAATACCATTTTTTTTTAATTGTATTTTTCCAAAAACTTAACTAGCAAGTCCTGTGTTGAAAACAAGGCAGTAATGGCTCCTTGGAAGTTTAAGGTGGTGCATTCTCCGACTCGGACCTCCAGACTTCGCGGCAGCCCCTGCTGTTCTCCATCACCAACATCCTCTCAACCTCGGGTGCCCCACTTGCGAACAATCGCTTCTCATGTTTGCGGCTGGAGTGGGCGCTTTTTTTCCTCCACAGATCTGCTGCTCAGTGGATTGCTGGATGCGGTTGTGGCTGCAACAAAATGGAGAAAACTCTTCCAACCCACAGTGCAGCTCGTGTGATGAGGGGAGCCCTGCGGGCTTCTACTGTCTGGACTGTCAACTTTGCGGTGACTGCGTGTAATTCACCAAAGATTACCTCAACACGGCGAGGAGACGTGAATCCGGTACTCCCAAACTCTTATCTATCCTCAGGACTGGGCCAACTTCTGCCAGCAACATGAAAATGAGGCAAGTTCGGGGAGAAGGTGGACCCGGGCTAGTTGTCACAAATCTTTCTCTTTGTCTAGGTTTAAGGTAAAGTCCATTTTTAAACCGAAATAACCATTTACATTCATTTCTAGTTAATCGAAGCCCTGCTTTCTTGAAACAGCATATCCCCAGTAAGAGGAACATATAACGTTAATGGCAAGATTGCTATTATATATATCTAGATTCTTAACCAACCTGTTTGAAGATTCAAGAACACTTGATCCATATGTTCTTTTTATATAAATAGTTTATGCAGCATTAAAACTGAAATTGATTTTTTTCCCTTTAATTCATTGACTTGGACTTAAAGGCACAATATGTAAGATTTTTTTATTAAAATATCCAAAAACCACTAGAACGGTGTTATATATTTTGCTGACTTGTGTACTTACATTATCCCAAATGTTTCGAAGAATGTTTAAATCCACAGAAATAAGCAATTTTAACTAGTGACGTGGGCCATGTCCATAGTGTCATTGTGTCGCCTGCCAATGACGTCATAACCCCTCAATTTCTGGTTTTGTTTTGTAGAAAACATGGAAACACCAAAGATGCTTTAATATGTAGTGCGTTTTAATAGACTGGTGACAACCGCACAGAGTAGCATTATAACAGAACTTTCAAATGTATCTAGTATGATAAAACAGCGCTGTTATCTTTGTGTAATATTAAAATTTGTTTGATGATCTGAATCTTTTAAGTGACAAATATGCAAAAAAAATTAAAAGGAAGGGGGCCAGCACTTTTTCACACCACTGTATAATTTGGTTGTACAGTGTAAAGTGATGCACGCTGTAATTAGTGCAGAGATGAGCATGTGTATGTTTTGTAAAACTGCAACTATTTTTGATCACTTAATTAGAAGCACCACAATTATTAATTGTGCTGTCTGTTACATAAGGACTACTAGCATACATTTAGAAGTTTGTTTGTTTGTTTTTTAGGTAAAAAGAATTGAAAATCAAAATGTAAAGAAAGCTCTGTAAAAAAACTTTACTTAATTTTACTTTGTAAGTTTTGTGTGTCCCATTGAGTAATCAAACGTTCTATACAATAGCTCTCTTCAGTTGAACACTTGGGTCAAATACAGGAAATAAGTCATCTAAATTGTTAAGTGCAAAGTCCGCAAATATGGGTATTGGTGGGACAGGCTCATTGTAGTCCAATTCACAAACAAAAATTGTCTTGTGAGACAGTTATTTTTAGTGAATCACAAATATTCATGGCAACCAGCCCATTTTATGAGCAATGTCTCATTTTTAGTGATCGAAAACATACGGAGGACTGTAATGAAGCACTATTTTAATGAATAGTTATCAAAGATTCTATTAATTTTTTCTAATGAAAATAAAAACAATAATAACTAGTATCTAATTAATCATTATTAATAGTGTTATTACAAAAGTAATATTCCTTATTATGTTTCATGTTTTTATTTAGAAATAATAACCATAATCATTAATAGTTATACTGATATATAAAAACTACATTTTTGGCCAAATTGTACAGCCCTACAAGTACAGAAAACCTGGTGTTTTTATTATTATCATTATTATTATTATTAATAATAACTTTTTGCCTTTTTTCCCAAATAAAGAAAATGTTTGTCTGAAAACCACAAGGTTTGGATTTTGTGTGCCCTGTACAGAACATTAATGTAAAAACATTCAGTGTCTGTAGCAGCAGCGCTATATGCAGCAAAAAAAAAAAAGGTTAACGCACAGCCCTGGTATGATATTTATTGTTTTTACTGGAGGAAAAATAGGAAAATAACAGGTAATAAAATTGGTGTCTTATCTCCATCCTGCCACCAGAGGTCCCTCGATGACCAACAAACAGATTAGGCTACTATGTTTACGAAATTACAGTGTTTACAAAACTGACAAAAATACGTGTTCTATGTGCTTGTGTGCAAATAATTGTTTCTTTTCTATGTAGTTTCCTCAAAAAAGTACATCCATCTCCTTGTTTCTGTTTCCTGTCTAATCTCTCTCCTATATCTGGCTCATTAATATTCAACATACGATTACCATACTGGGCAGAAATGCACATTTAAAAAGTACTAGTATCTATTAAGTTCAAATGGTCTAAAAAGTTACTAGTAACTAAAAAATAAGTACTAGTTCTATTTTTTCTAACCAAGAAGAGTATACTTAAATACTAGTCACTATTGGAATAAGTACTATCTAATGAATAAGTACTAGTAAATTTAGACACTAGTACCAAAAGAATAAACACTAGTACCTAAAGAATAAGCTCTAGTAGCTAAAGAATAAGCACTAGTACCTAATGAATAAGTACTAGTACTTAATGTAAAAGATACTAGTACCTAAAAAAATAAGTACTAGTTGTATGGAAAGCCATTTTAACATTTAACCTATAAGCTGTACTAGTATCTATTTTCATGGTACATGATGATCATGGTACAGCATTTATTTGAAATATAATTAATTTGTCATAAGTATAAATAACTTTACTGTCACTTAAATCAATTTAAAGCAACCTTGTTGAATAAAAGTATTAATTTATACATATATATGTTTTTATATTACCCTAGACTAAATGGTAATGTATCACATTTTCCATAAAAATATGAAGCATAAAAGTCTTCAGCACTGATCAAAATCAGAAATATTTCTTGAGCAGAAAATCAGCATATTGGAATGATTTCTAAAGGACCAATAGAAAGGCACCATAAAAAAACAGTCTTTTAAGCAGAGCATTGTGTCATATGGACTGATATTATGGTAGGTATTTAACATTATATTAAACTGTCCTTTTAAAAGAGATGTGTAAAAATTCTTCAAAATTATTTACTATTTGTCATATAAACCAGAAATGACTAATTATAATTTTAAAAAGTATGTCAGTCATTCATTAATGTTAATTATAATAATTACAATAATAAAAAAATTGCATTTTTATTTCTGAATTGTGTTATATGTTAGCTGGTGGGTTTATGGTGTGGTGGGCCGCTCTGCCAGAAAGTCCAGGGCCACTTTTTAGCCCCAGTCCGCCCCTGGCAAGCTGTCTGTCAGTGTACAGTTATACTGTTACAGTTATACAGTTATACAAAATACTGTTGTGGAAAAGGATAAAATGCGATTATTTTAATATCTCTGACAAAAAAGATATCTCTGCAAGCAGAGCTCTACAGTTTTGACAATCATTTTAGCAGTTTTGGGATTTCACTGCATTGTCAAAGATGCCAAATTAACA